TTCCCCTGAGGTTCGTCGAACATCCAAGCTGCTCCTCTTGTGGAATGCCAACGGGAGCAGTGTCGCCTCCCAGCCCGGCGGTCTTCCAAAAGGGCGTTGCGGGCTTGTAAACATTAATTCTCTTTCTCCCACTAGGCGTCTGTGAAAGGGTTGATTGGTGGGCCCTTCTTGGCGCTCCTTGGGCCGTACTGTTGACGCCTTAAGGGCTAAAGACCCCACTGAGTCACCCAAACCCCGTGGATTTTGAGGGGTCTTCGAAGGCGACCTCAGACTTTGGATGGGCGCGCTTGTTTTGTTTGGGTTGAAAACCCACTTTGGGTGGTTTGAAGGGAAACCAAGAGGAACGCTGAAACCAATTTCGGGGGCAGCCCGATTTTAAGGCATGTTTTGCGCGGGACCTGCTTTTTCTGAGCTTGGTTTCAAGGGAAACCAAAAGGAGATCCTGAAATCGGTTTCCGATCGATCCCACCTGGACGTTGGTCTCGCGAGAGGCCTGCGGCAGAACTGCTCTCGTGAGTGGATGGCCGTTTTGGCCCACATCACTTGGCCCCAATCCGGGGTACATAGAAACTCAGATATTGTCTGCTTCTGTTCCATAAGGTGTGTGTGTGTGTGTGTTTGTTTTTTCGGGATTCGGGCCCCAACATCGTGGGTTTCCTCTTGGTTCCCTTTAAAAACCACACACAGAAAAGATACTCTCACAAAAGACAAACCCATGATTATATATATATATATATACACATGGTACCGTGTTCCTTGTTGCTACCCCCCCCAAATGGTACGTCCCCCAGGACCCCCCCCCGGCCCGAGACCCCGAGCCCCCGCATCCTGGCACCTACGGTCCCACCCCCACCGCGACCCCGTGAACTCGCACCCCGACACCCCGGCACCCCCACCCCCAGGACAAGCCAACCCGCAACCAACCATAAACCAACCCTAAACTAACCCTAAACCAACCCTAAATACACCCTAAACCAAACCCTAAACCGTAAACCTCTAAACCTAAACCAACCCTAAACCAACCCAAAATCAACATAAACCAACCCTAAACCAACCCTAAACTAACCCTAAATACAGCCTCAACCTCCCCCTAAACAATAAACCCTAGACCAAAACCAACCCTAAACCAATCCTAAATCAACATAAACCAACCCAAAACTAACCCTAAACTAACCCTAAATACACCCTAAACCTAAACCAATCCTAATTAAACATAGACCAACCCTAAACTAACCCTAAACTAATCATAAATACAGCCTAAATACAACCTAAACCAATTGGGCTTCCTTTTATTTTGTTCCTTTCAACCTACAAAAAAGACGCCCCCCTCATCCTCGCTTGGGCTGGCCAAGCTCTGCCTGCTGTCCAAAGCTGATCAATGGGGGAACCGCCCAAGGGAGCCCAGCCCCATGAGTACCCTAAGCCAACCACGCACCAAGGCACCCCCAAACCAACCCCAACCCCAAACCAACCCCAACCCTAAACCAACCCTAAACCAACCCTAAACCAACCCTAAGGCAAGCCCAAGACAACCCTAAACCACCGTCAAGCTGGGACTGGGATACGACAGGGTGCCGTGGCTACACTTCCAGCCCACAGAATGGCACGTTTGTTTGTTTTTTTTTGCCAAACGATGATTCGTTTAAACCCCGAAAGAGGACATGTAGGAGCGGTCAAATGGTGAGCATTGTTTTTTTTAGAGGTTCAGGGCTTATACACTGCTGGGGAGGCTACGCGGGGGGCTTCGCGGGGCCAGAATTTGTGGAAGGGTTGGCTTCGCAAGGCTTCGCGGCAAGACTGTGGCTTCGCGGAGTGGCTTCGCCGGGCTTCGCGGATGTTTGTTCCACAAACATCTCTGACGTTTGCCCCCCATGTTGTTGAATCAAGTTGAGTCCATGCGAAAGGGGGCGAGGAAAGGCGGCAAGAGAGGCATTGAGCTTCAGGACTAGGGACATGGCTAGGCCTCAAAGGGGCGGAGCATGGAAGTTGGACCGCGGTGGCTTCGCGGAGGCTTCGCGGAGGCTTCGCGGGGGCTTCGCGGGTGCTTCGCGAAAACGCTCCGTCGTTTCTAGCAAAACCGGGCCTGACACGCACAGTGCTCTTCCGGTCGTCTTCCCGTAATCTTCCTGTAATCTTGTCGTAGCCTGCTGACTCTAAACATCAACCTTTGGAAGCGCACAACACACTTGCCATGAAAGCACGCAATACAGTCAAACCACGAAGTGGCTTCGCGAAGTGGCTTCGCCTGTGTCAATGTTATCGGGCTACGCGAAGTGGCTTCGCGGGGCTTCGCGGTACACAATGTATCGCATAAGTGCCTTCGCGGAGCTTTTGGGAGCTCCCCACGAAGCTAAAATCCATCATCTGAGAAAAAAACACTGCTCGCCTGATGTTGAAGGCTCGCTTTGGGGCCACCACATTTTCCACTCCACATTGACAAGACGAAACATGACACCGAATGTAATTGCCGTCTTCCAAATGTTGATAGCGGCTAAGGAATCCTTAGGTTCACGGTTGAATGTCAACATTGTCAACCAAAGGTCTTGGGACATGGACAAATACATATAATTGCAATTTTCCCTGACTATCCTGACTTGGGTTTTGGTGCACCTGCTCGCATAAAGACAATCATAGAAGACATTGTGCAATCAATTTGCATCTGGGAAGCACCCGACCCAAGGGGCGTTGATGGGTCAGATTTCAATTAAGCTAGATCTCACGGCCTTCACGCGGTCGTGGAATCGGTCGGCACTGCCTGTGGTAGATTCTTGCGGCGAAACTGCAAGCTCCGGTATTCATCCTGGTATGGTTGCGATGGAATGGTCTTGGTTTTTCCTGCACCTGTCATGGAGGCATTTGGGTGTCTTAAAGTAGAGCATTTTCAACATGGTTTGCGCTTTGCTTTGACTTTCAAAACCAGCCAAACAGTCGTTTCCCCAAGCACCCACACAGTTGATGCGATGGATGAGGGCCCAGGAGAAACACGCACCACCCCGCCCCCGGCCTGGCGTACGATGCTGAGGTAGATCCGGCTGGGTGCGTGGCAGAGCAGCAGGATCACTAGCAAGGCAGACCAGGCCTCAGGCTACATGATTGGAAGTGGATTGTCTGGTGCGGCAAAGCATACGGCCTGAGCATGGGAAACTCATGTCAGTGTTGATGGTCTTGATGTGGAGCTTGCGCTATCTGTGTTTTTGCGGCTTTGGGAGATGGAAGAGGACTTCCGATTTCATGTGGGATTCTTTTTCGTGGCGTGATGGGTTGGGTGTGGAATGGCAAAACAAAAATGCAAAACAAAACATGGGCTTTTCGCAGCTTCCAAGGCTGACATGGTGGCCAAAGAGCGGAGGAACACCAAAGCCAGAAAAACACATTGCTTGACATCAAGCAATCCCCACCTATGACATGTACTAATTCAAAGGCCCAGTAGGCGTGTTCTTTGAAGCGGTTGCTTGAAGCTCACACGCTGACTGCTAACGCCTGCCAGTACGCGACCAAACGAGCCCAAGACCGGCTCAGCTTCTACTGGGTGATGCGAAACACAAGCCCCCAACAAATGCACGCGTTGTTCAAACGATCCCTCTACACTCTGTCTGCTTGCCAAGTGCAACGCGCAAACTCGCGCAAGGAAATGTCATATCGCGTTTGCGTGGCTGCTCTGGAGCGGCAGGAGCTGGTATTCCTTTAGACCCTCACACGCTGTGACTCCACTGCCTGCGTGCTTTGTGTGCCAAGCGAAACGACCGGTGGATGCCCGCACCCTTCGGACTGTCAAAGCGGAGGGACTGGCAGCACAAAGATCACTTGGTCCTCACTTGCCAAGAACAGCAGGGATCCTTACATGAAAAACACCTGAACATTGCCTTGTCAATGGTGGTTTCCCCTTATTTTGGTGGAAAAGGCCATGTTTCAAATGGGCAAACTGTATCTTTTAAGGAGCCCTGAACCGAAGCAACAAAGCATGGCTGTGAGCTTTGGATGGGACAAAACCCTTCAAAAAGGCGGCGTGGACATACCTGATTATACATCAGCCATGGTCACAATCACTTGTTCTCCCAAGAGGACAAGGACAATTTTGGCTCGTGCCCTGGTATGTTTGTGTGTGTGACTTTTTAGAGCTCGTCGCACGTCCTTCCCAAATTGACCATCAACTACCAACAGTTTTGATCCCTCACATCCTGCCAGGGGGCGTCTATCATCAGGAGACTGCGACAAAATAAGCATAAGCCCTTAACAAGTAACATTGCCTGACTTTCTTCCATATGTAGTCTACCATATATTATAAAATCGTTGTGGAGCACACTCCCGCGTTTCGCTTCCACGGGTTTCATCCGTTTCCCGACTCCCCCCTTATCGAAGCGAGGTGCTGCCACGGCCAGGTGGGTCTCCAGGGAGCTACTCTCGGAAGGCGCGCAGGCCGTGTCCCTGGGAGCACAGCCCGGGACCCGCTGGACGCAAGCCTTGCAACTTGGTATTAACCGTATCTAGGGCCTCCAGGTTCTTCAGATTGGAGAGGTTAGAATAAGAGTACCCGATTGAGTTTCTGTAGTCTGTTTTAGTAGCGGAACCCTCCCCCAGAAAAGGGTGCAAGGGCACTACTGGGGAACCTAGGTATTCCTAACCCTTCACTAGTGGGGTCTGTAGGGTTGGTAAGTAATCTTGGTCTCAGTGGTCTTTAGGGTAGGGGGTGGTATGTAATTGATTTGGTGCTTCATCAAAGCATCACATGCCCTAATCTTAGGCTTACTGCCCCCTTACCTGGAAGGTAGAACCCCTGAACAACTCCCAGGCTCAGGGCCGAACAAGATCCGCCAACTCAAGGCCAACTGCTGAGGTCTTTTTACGGGGGGACTGGAGCAAAACCAACTTAACATTCCCATACCTTTGGCTAATAGGAAGCAGTCATTCTCTGTGTTTGGCTGACCACCCGGTACAAAAACAAAACAAATCACAAAACAAATATCATGCTGCTAGTGCCAAAGGGTCCGCCGCTCTCCAAGAACTGCTGAGGCAAAGGGTGGAACCCAAAAGCCCTCCAAGCGGGAAAGCGGCAAAAGGAATCCTCGAGTGAAGGAGCTTCATTCGAAAGGCAAATCGCGCATTCCCCCCGCGCCCCCCGCACCCAATCGGACCCAATCGGTAAGGTGTCCATTCCCATTGATCCAGAACAGCGAATCTTGGCGTGTTCAGGTTTCAACTAAGTTGACCTGTTCGGACCAAGAAATAGAAAGAGATCGCCTTTTGGGCCATGACTTAAAATGGATCAAACAAGGGAAGCTAAGAAGTCAAAAGGTCAAATCGCTTATGGCAAGCTAGTCAATAGATGGACGATGGTATGGTGTTCCCCTTCCTGTTCGGTCAACACCACCACAGCAGAGCAGCCCAACCCCACGCCCACAACTCGAAGTTCACAGACTTCTGGGTGTTTGTTGCTTAAAAATTACGCAAAACAAGTGGGTCCAGAAAAGGCTAGCGAGGGTCAGGACGTCACGCTCTGCTGGAATCATGGGCCACACAAGCGCGCTCCGCTTGTAGGTGCGGACCACAAACACGGCGGTGGCCTGGTCCCCAATCCCAGCCACTAGGAAGGAGAGCAGAGTGCCCAGCCTTTTCCACCAAACTCCAATCCTCCACAACGCCGAAAAGGGGCGAAGTCTCCATACTGCTGGCATTCGGGGCTGTGCGTGGGCCACGTGGCGTTCTTGGTCGCCTTCAAGAAGAGGCCGCCTTGAAGCGAGAGACTCCAGAAATTTGGCGGGATGTGGGCCAAGGAACCAGGCTTGATCTCTTTTGCGCTAGCTGGCCAGCTCTAGCCAGCACCAGCTGATGCCTTCTACTTTTGGGTGAATCTCTCAACCTAACGCATTCGTCCCCAAGCGGAGCTACAATTTATCAACGTCCGGGGTAGACAGAAGACCAACTTGGCAGATTATATTTATATCTCGTCCACACTACAGCTTCAAATGGGTACGTCTTAAAATAGGACTCGGAGCCCACAAACAGGAGCTCCTTGTTTCCTGTTGATTTCCCTTTTTTCACCAACCCCCAAAACAACGGAAGCCAAGAAGCCAACGCGAAAGAAAATCAAAAAAGGAAAACAACAACAAATACCAACAATATGCTACCCTCCCAAAAAACGGAGCCGCCCCCCAGATCTCTTTGGAGCCCCAAACTTCGACACCCCCCGACTGAGTCAGGTGCTCGCTCTCTTCCGTAGCCTGCCGCTCCTGCGAGCGGGGAAAGAATCACACGACGCCTCGAAAAGAACGACCTGCTGGTTTTGCTTCTTTCTTTTTATTTGTGTTATGTTTTTTGTTGTTGTTTAAAAGAAAAAGCTGCTGAAATCATCTAGCACAAGGGAGATTGTTTTGCTTTTCTGTGTTGTTTTGCTTTCTGTGTTGGCTTTCTTTAAAAAGAACATCAGCTGCTGCTGTGTTTTGATCTGGAAGGAAAAGAGATCACAAATTAAGTCTTCCTCCGGATGGATGCATTTTACCCCGATGCTCTTGGAGCTCGGGGTGTCCCAAAACCGGGTCTTCCATAAGCCATTCTGCCAGCGTCTGGGTCGGGGGCAAACCATTGAAACAACCACACAACAGGTACCGTCAACGAAAAACAACCCTGTTCGTACTGGATTGCAACTATGTTTCTCTAAAGGTATGGGATTTCTACGAAGCGTCAAACAACAACAACTCAATTGTTGCGAATTGCAACCGGGCAAAGAGGCAACAAAGGCAGACGTTCAGCTTGGCCTCTTTCTCAATCTGGAGCAACATGGTGGAGCACTTCAGACTTCCAACAAATAGACTTGAAGCTTGTGTTGCTTTGCATTCCATATGTCAGGTCATGCTTGTTTGTTGCCTAATCGAGGGCGCCCTTGGCAGGCAAACGGGACACAATGATTGACACAATGGTTGACACAATGACAAAGGAACCTGCAACAAATCTATGAATACATCCCCCCCCATTTTGGGGTTTCCTTTTGGTTTCCCTTTGCAACCACAAAACTTGTTGTACCCTCCAAAAGATTAGTAGTATCCTCCGGATTGACACTGCGGGATTCCTGTGACTCGCATGGTCCGTAGAAATGACATCGTGTTGGGTCTTTCGGGTGGATGCAACCGAAGAAGTGTGTCTAATAATTATAAGGGGTCACACAATTAAAATGGGGATTGGCCGGACCTTCAAACCAAAGTAAGTCATGACCCGTGGAGAAACTAATGTCATTGTTCAGCCCTTTGTATCACAAGCTGCGAGTGTTCGAGTCCGTGGCTCCTTTGATCTGGGTTGAACCGACCCCTTGGCAACGTGGTGTTGCAAATCACGATAAGACCTACACCGGGAGGTAAGGAATCCCTTAGCAAAGCTTCATGGATGAGCTCGCTCGCTTTGCTCGGATCGGTGGCCTTGTTGCAATTTGCGCAGATTCATCTGGGTCTGTCTCAACTGGGAACGCTTTTGGGGACGGTTTTAAGAGGAAACCCAAAGGACAACAACGACCTGGAGAGTGCCTTAGTTTTGAGACACCCTGCACTATTCCTGCGACGTCCGGCGAGGGTCCATGTGTCAGCCGCTGACTCTTTGCTGCAAAAGGGCAAATTGGTCTAAGTCCGGGAGTCACAATCAAAACCTGCTACCGTAAGTGGTCTACCTGCTGTGAATCAAGAGGGCGGCCCACTTGTCTCCGGCTGAAAACTATCCCTTTCCAAGCTTCACAGACCGGGGCTGTTGATTGTGACTCAACTTGGCAACAACCACCGAGAATTTGCAGCCGCGCGATCGATTCTCGCCTGCACCACCACCGGACCTGCGGTCGGGGCAAACAAGGAATGGGCGCTTCTGAAATGGCAGAACACTTCGTGCAACTGGTGTTCAAAGGGAAACCAAAAGGAAACCAACCAGTTTCTGGAGCCTCTCTTGGGAGAAATACCCAAATCTAGAGTAAGTAGGGAAAGGTGGGCTCTATAAATCTGCCTAGCCCCCTGAAAAAAAGATCACGGTGTATCGGTTGAAAGGAGCAATGATGAAACACCATAAACCAGTTAGCCAAGTCTCCTAGACTTCAGTGGATTTCTCCATTTTAAAGGGCCACCCCCTGCAAAAAGCAAGGCAAAATCTGAAGTCGAGGAGTACTCCTAGGATCCTTTCCGGCGGAAGCAGCGCACGGAAATGGAACCCAACACCGAAGTCCGTCATTTTTGCACCCGGAGCAGCCCTGAGATTCTTGGCGCGAAAATTTGCCGTTGATACCTCAACTCCAAAGTGCTACGCGTGCCGAGAGCAATCAGCTTCCACTCACAGAGAGCAAACAGCCAGCCAGCCAGCCAGCCAGCCAGCCAGCTAGCCGGCCAGCCAGCCAGCCAGCCAGCCAGACAACAAACAAACACAACACAAAATTAAACACAGCAAAGCCAGCCAGCAAGCACGAAAAAATGTATATTTGCAAGCAACTAACCAACCAACCAACCAACCAACCAACCAACCAACCAACCAACCAACCAACCAACCAACCAACCAACCAACCAACCAACCAACCAACCAACCAACCAACAAAACAAACAAACAAACAAACAAACAAACAAACAAACAAACAAACAAACAAACAAACAAACAGACAAACGAGCAAGCACACCCACAAACACAGGACACAAACACACACACAAACGTACAAACTCGCAACATACACAAACACACACACACACACACACAAGCACACAAGGACACAAAAGCACACACACACACACAAACACTCGAAACACATGAATATTCGCGAACACGCAAACACAAACAGACAAACACAAACACAGAAACACAGAAACAGACCAACCCACACACACACACACAACAAAAAAGACCAAGACATAAAATAAACCCACCCACAATATTTTGTACACTTAAGATTGCCGGACCAGGCAGACACTGAAACACATGTTTTGAATTAAATTAGTGAAATATAGTGAAATAGTTTGTGAATCAAAATAGTGAATGAAATATTTAGTGAATCAAAATTGTGAATTGGGAAACATGGATTTGCAGATTCGCAGGCCCAATTTAGTGAAATTTAGTGAATCTCTTTCTAAAATTTCATTGAATTTAATTAGTTTCGCTAAATTTCACTAAATTTCACTAAATTTCACTAAATTTCGTTGATTTTCACTAAATTGGATTTGCGAAATTTAGTGAAATTTAGTGAAATTTAGTGAATCTCTTTCTAAAATATCATTGAATTTAATTAGTTTCGCTAAATTGTCTCTAAATTTCACTAAATTTCACTAATTTTCACAAAATTTCACTAATTTTCACTAGTTTTCACTAAATTGCATTTGCGATATTTAGTGAACTTTAGTGAAGTTTAGTGAAATTTAGTGAAATTTGGTGAAATTTAGTAAAATTTAGTGAAACTTAGTGAAATGTAGTTTGTTTTTGCTTTTTCCTAGTCACCTCGCCATGCAGGCGTATGTCCATTCACTATTCCCATTCACTATTCCCATTCACTATTTCCATTCGCAATTGCTTTAATTCACTATTCGCATTCACTATTTCATTTGCTAATATTCACTGAATAATTATTTTGATGTTTCCAATCTCTACCTCCCAGCGGCAATCTTAATTGTACACACCATCAGGCCCGGAAGACAGAATTTGGGAGATACAAAGCTATGCCAGTTCTTGCCACGGTGATAATCTGGATGCTAAAGGGGCGGGGTTCTGTCAAATAGGGAGTCCAGGAATTTGGGGAGTGACAGGGTCAACCCCGTGTCGATGCCCCGCCTGAATCCTCGCCGCATCTGCTGCGAACCTGAAAAGCTGTCAGGGTGTGTTCGTATATGATGCTCGCGTACGTGCGTGCGCGCGCGAGAGCGTCTGTCCGTCCGAGCGTGCATGCGGGCGGGAGGGCGGAGCGGGCGGGCTGGTGTGTGCGCCTGTCTGTGTGTCTGTGTGTCTGTGTGTCTCTGTGTGTGTGTGTGTGTTTTGGAGGGTACCCCTTTCGAGCTGGTTGAAATGGCAAACAACAGTAATAGCAAGTGTTTTGGGGCCGGCATATTTTGACACATGCCCATTTGAGGGCAAATTTCCACCAGGGTTTTCCGGTCCAAAGTGGACAGAAGGAACCGGCGGCAATTATGGAGGTCTGGACATCCGAGAGCATGTACGCCATGTGAAAGGAAGGCCTAGTCCCCCAGCAAAATTGGCAGAGAAATTCCAGGGGTGATAGATTCCCTTTAAAACCAACAGGGGAACTTTACAAAATATATGCCTAAGCAAGCGGAAGGATCTGGAGCTTCTTTCTATAAGAAAAGCCACGACTTTCTTTGTTCTTTGCAGCCGACGACTAAACGACTAAACATCACGTCAAGAACAATGACGGGTCCCCTCCGCCCATAACAAAAACAACAAAAGCACCAACATCCTCGCCCATGCTCGCCCCCGCACACCCCCACACCTGGAAGGCAGTGTCAGGCGACATTGTCCTCAGCTGGCATGGCTTGAGCCGTCCTCAATACGGGGTTTGCAAAACAAAATACCGACCACCCGAAGACAAGCATGGAACTAGCACAAATGTTCAACATATCTCACAAAAAAGGCAAATAAATGCGGCACCGCAAGGGACCTGGAAGGTAACTTTCCTCGATGCCTCTTTCAGGCTCCGCTAGTGGGGATGGCATCCTGAGCCAAACCAATTTACCAGGAACCACGGGTCCCAGTTTGTCTAAACTAGGCTCCCTCCGCGCCTGCTAAGGATACAACAGGTGTTCCATCAGGACCTTCCCTGACGTTCGGAGGCTGACTTCCTTGGGATTTATTTAGGTTTTAGTTGGTGAATCAGATTTCGCCAAAGGTGTCCGTCGACTTTGATTCCGCCGTGCATTCAAGCGGCCAGGCTGGTGCCAGCTTCACCGGCTGGGGAGTGCACAAGGACAGGTCCGGCGTAACCCTCGGAGCGACATTCGCTTCGAGTTGAGGAGAACTCCTAGGGGTGTTCTTGTTCTTGAGTATTCCTACCCAGAGGCAACCCGACCCAAGCGGTGTAAGGGTGTTGGGAATTTACATCAGGTAGGTTGCAACCATGGTGAATGTTAAGCAGGGGTTGTTGCACCTCATAGGCATCGTTGTAACCTGTTTACATGGCTCACATAATTTCCCAGCGGCATCAAATCTTTGTGTCACGCATACACAACCTTTAGGCAGGCTGAAAATCCGCTTTCTCAAACTATTTTCCCGCCAACATCAACGGGACAACATCTACCCCCTACTCCAAATACCCAAATCTGTCAGAAACGGAGGATTTTTACCATGGAAACCAGGTTTTCCAACACATACCCTGACAAAACTAGTATTTGGAGAAGGGGGCAGGTTTTACCTCGGATGGGTTCTGGGTCAACATGAGGGGCCTGGTTTGGTAGCCCGTTTAAGAGGCGGCCCAAGGACACACCAGGTCAAAAAACGGGCCATATTTTTGACAACCCCGCGTGGAAGGAGTGAACTAATGACTTTCTTGTTGCTATTATCATGGCCAATAGAAGGCTACTGGAAGTTCGACTGGAAGGTCTTAAACATGGCCGGGAACTTCACATGGGAGCTAACTTAGCATATTACATCATACTACCCAGGCTTTGATCGTGGCCTCGACATGTCCATCCCATTCTTTGCAGGCCGTCACAGTGTCGAAGTCTGTCTCGTAACTGAGGGGAAATCCCACGTTGGATGATGCTTGAAGGGAAACCGAGCGGCAAAACAATTCGCATTCATGCCCGGCCACAGTAACGCAAGAAACGGAGAGGGGCAATCAAAGATAAACAGTATGACTCTGTCTCGACGGGAGTTGCCGGGAACACAAAAAAACCAAACACGACATCTTGGTCAACGTTTGGCCCTGAACCAAGGAATTCACAGTTCAGTCAAGGGTAATTAAATATTTAAGATGGGGCAACATGCAAAGTGGTCATAAATCCAGACTCGAAGACCCCTTGACATGTTTGCTTTCGCCATGCTGCGTATAGTTCAGCAGCAGGTCGTTGAAAAGGATGCAGCACCTGAGCTACTCGCATGCCGAACCTTGCCAATATGGTAGCTTTGCGACGCAAACGTGCAACGCAAAGTCAACTTAAGCAAACGTGCAACGCAAAGTCAACTCGGACTAATCCGCAAAAATTACATGGATTCCATGTGAACGGGGGGAACCCAAGTAAAGGACCTGGCTTGCCTTGAATTCCCATTGAACTCACCTGAGTGGATTGTCCAAAGAAGTCCATCGTGACCGCTAAAAATAAACCCAATTTTAGCGCTAAAATTGAAACCCAAAAAAGTCACTCCAGTAAAGTCCAGGACCTCCGTCCGGGAGCCGAACGCCTGGAACCCGACGGAGTTGGCGGTAGGCAGAACCCATGTAGGGTGTGCGCGCTGTTCTTGCCCAAGCCACACCCTCCCCAGCCTTAACTGGCCACAAGGGACACCAGCCCAGTTTCTGACTTTGATAACCCCAACGTAGTCCAACAACACGACCCCACTTCAACCTATGCTCGAAAAGCAGGCTTTTGAAGCGCCACCTTCGACCGCCCCTGAGAGGCAAACGAAGGCACCCTCATGCAGACTGCAAAGGCCTCTGCATGATCAAATTTTGCAGCCGAGCCGTCATGCATGAGCCGTCAAGACATCAAGCAAGGCGTCAAGCAAGGCGTCAGTGACTTCCTCCTCCGCAGCAGGATGCAAAAGGGGGCAGGTCACCGTTGCAATCCGAGATGGCGCAAGGTTGCAGCACTTGGACCAAACGCACAATGCGCTTGACGGCCCCGCTTTAGAGACAGATAAGTCGCCACCGTATTCATCGGCGTACGCCGTCATACGAAAGGTGAAGGTGGGCACTGCCGCAGAGGAGGCCCTGTCCATCAACCTGCTTTGGTTGTACGGTGGTGTCACCAATGGACAACAAAGAGCAAAGGGCCAAAATTGGCTCCTTGGTGGGAGCATAAAGCGCCGGCGACTGCAAGTCAGTTACCACAGCCTCAGCGCGCAAAGACAGAGGAATCTTTTCGATAGTGAGGACTCCAAGAGCATGGACACTGACGTTGGTCTTCGAATGCAGAAGCAGCTGCACCTGTTCGACCTTGGCCACTGCGAGGCCGCGACTGTCAGGAATGACTTCCTGGAAGGTCATCTGTGGAATGGCGACATCGTTTGCGTCAACAAAAGAACCAGCAGCAATGATGAGATTAACAGGCTCCAGGTGCAGCTGGACAGGCTCAGCACGATGAGAGGTGGGCTTCTTAGAACGAGGCTGAGGGCGAAGGCCAAAAGCCGATTCAGCGCGCTGCGTGACGTGAGCCTGAAGCTCAGAGTGCTCTACCCATCCAAAGGGCTTGGACAAGGAATTGGCGGCCTGCTTCAACTGAACCCAAGGATTTGCCGCTCTCAAGGCCTGACGCAAAGCAGAAACTCCAGGCTTCTTGATCGCCAAGGTGGCCCTTGCTGAAGCCCTCTCAGGAGGAACCCCCTTGGTGGGCAAGAATTCAGCAAGCCATTGCACAATAGCCGCCTCATCGCTGGCACCCCGATCGCACATACGCTGATAGCAAATCAGAGGTTGATGCCAACGACAGACCTCAGCATCAGTGGCGGAACGCCAGATCGCCAGAACCATGCCGGCCAAGAGCAATGGTACCACAGTGGGCATCAAACGCTTGGCGCACCCAACACGGCAACGACGACCAAGCACGGGAGTGCGACCAAAGGCGGCATGAAGAAGCGAAGTAAGTCCGGCCGTAGCAACAATCAGAGGGGACTGGAGACCGTCGAAGATCCGTGCCTCACCACACCTCGTAGACAACGAGGACCCAATGCTGATCCACAGGCAGAACAGCAAGTCAGCAGCTGAAACTACGAGCGACCGCAGGAAAGAGACAGCCCCAGCAATTAGCACCTCACGTGGCTTGAGAAACGCCACAATTTTGAAGCCCGCTCTGTTTGATCAATCGCCGCATGGCCATGACCAGTGTGGAGTCATCGAGGCCAATTTCACCGCTAGACAGCAAGCCCGAGAGCTCAACCTCATCGCCAAGGAGAGGAATAGGTTGTGGGCCACGACCACGCAAAGTAGGAAGGGCACTCACCTTGCACCTTGAGTACAACCTGAATGTGCAGGGGCGCATTCCCCAGGAGAGCCTGCGAGGGAAGTAGGTCTGCCGGCCGACGAGACCAAGGTTTTAAGACCAGGACCAATCAACTTGTTGTGCGCAAGCTGCAATTCCTTGACCCGCGTGGGTCCACCACATGCCGGAAATGCGTTGCTTATCGAAAGTTCACAATGATCTGAGCCATCGATGCCAAAGCTTGCGTCGCTTCCTCGTTGGTTAGAAACGCGTTGTTCGCATTTCCCAAGGCATACGGTTTGCAGCAATGGCGGATCAAGACGGTGCAAGTCTGGAGCCACTTGCAACAAATCCCTCCAAATCCACTGATCGGATTCAGTCTTGGAGCTGCGGAACCAAGCCAAAAGCTTATACGCGAGGTCAGAGCTAAGTCCGGTCCCGACTGCCAAGACATGAGACCGCTCGAACTCAGCAAACACTGCCTCCTCGTGTGCGGAGTGGAACGCGCGGGTTGGCCGTGCGCTGGATGCACCGTTTCACCATCGTCGCTGGCACTCCAATTTTGGGCATCGCCAAAGGAAGAGTGCGAATGCAGCGTGAACTCGGCAAGGCTGGCGCCGGTGCGCCGGGAGGAAAGTCAAAGACGTTGACTACAACGTCGTCTGCCGCGTTCCACATGCGGGAATGACTGACGAGGTTGTAAGAGGCGCTGCCTGAAAGTTCAAATTCAACGCGATGCACGCACGAGAACATGTTCTGCCACATTGGCATTTCCTGTTCGGGGGCCTCCATCAACCATCATCAACCCAATGCCCGTGACATCTCTGATAAAGCCCCGGGTGCTGGGCCCAAAGTCGAGCGAAGTGCTATCGCTGAGCGCAAAAAGGAGAAGATACGACGTCATCGCACAAATGGATCCACCGCTTCTCCGATCTTGCGCCCTCAATCGCAGGGCTGTGAGCCCTTCATCGACTACGATGTCAGACAGATGGTCGAGATCAGCATCTCCAGCCAAGCGATGATGCAAATGGAGACCTGGGATAGCTCCATTCGTAGCCAGCGGGCAGAACACAACCCATTGCCACGCGGTCATCCCGTTGGTCCTGCCATATTTCGACACCAGACCCATCAGCAGCATGTAGTTCAACAAAAATCAAATGGTGGTTGCGTTCGTTCAACAAATTACGGAGGCATATACCAGCAAAGTTTGGGGCGCCTGCCAAGCCATGCATGTCATCCTAGGAAATCCTTCAACTGGTAGCGTGCCAACACAAGTCCCACCCAATCTGCCCACGTATGCTACGTCAAAAGACGGACTCCCCAAATTCTAGAGTGGTCCAAAACCGCAAGCTGAACTACAGCTGCGTGAAGCTTTCTCAGAAATGCTTCCCCACTAAATCCAGGGACACCCCCCTGTGAATGAATTGGGGTTGAGCAAAATGGGCTCAACAGTACAAAGGTCTACTCCAAACGGAATGTTCCCTCCAAAACCCTCCAAATCGGAATGGTAGGGTTTAGTTAGGATTTTGTTACATGGACTTCTTATTTTTTCCGCACCCCTCGTCAAAAGCCTTGCTTTTCGGGTTTCCTTTTTGAGGGTACCAGGGAAACCCTCTGCTTGTTTGAACACAAAGCAACGTCTACAATTGGTTCAAATGAAATAAGAACTGGATCCCCAAGCAATGCTAACCTCAGAATAATCCGGAGACCGTACGAATCAGGTGTGGTTGCCTCTCAGTAAGAAAATTATTTATTTGAGGGGTTCCTTTGATTAGTAGGGTCTTCCGGATTGATGCGAAGGTTACATTAAAGGACATTCATGGCGGTCTGGTGTTACCCCGAAAGCTTTCACCGCTGGCTGCAAAAAAAGGAACTTTGCGGAACCAGGGCTTCAGAACCTCGCAAAATGCTCATCTGGGTGTCTCATTTTTTAAGGCTACCACCTTTTTGTGCTTTGGAGGGAAACCAAAAGGAAAAAGTTCAATTCGGAGATACCTCCGATTGTTTGGAGCGCTTCCATTTGCTTGTGCAAACTAAAAGGAAAGCCGAAGCCATGGCCGAATCCCAGCCAAAAAATGACGAGCCGCCCATTTTGATGGAAGCAACCCTAACCCAGGTCGCTGTGGCGTGAGAATCACCACGGCTACTTTGTCGAGGGAATCACCCCCCCCCCCCGCGCGGACCGGACTTTCTACAGTGACCCTACTAAGTTGCTCCAAACCAGCCACTGGTTTCCAAAAAGGTCTCTCCTTTTGGGAGATTTGGTCACAAAGGCCACAGCGGCTCACAAGACCCTCGATGTCCGGGTCGGCTCTTGGGCCCCAGCGTCTGCTTGGGGCCTGTGGGGAGCTGGGCCACCAATTTCCGGCAGCAGTCGCACTTGCCGCAGGAGGACATCTCCTGGCCGTCGCCGGTCGCTTGTCGCAGTGGGCGCGCGGATGTTTCGAGGGAAACCCTTCTTGGGGTTGGTTTGGAGGGAAACCAGAACACGGGAAGTCAATACCATCTGGATCCAACTGGCGTATACGGATTGAGGATGGGATTGAACCAAGGCGAACCACGAGGAGTCACTTTTTTCACAGTGCTTTAACCAACCTGAAGCAAGGGGTTGGCCTATCCCAGCTTTTGGGCAGTCGCAAGCTCTTTTCGAGCCAAGGCGCTGCGGAAAAACACACACACACACAGACACAGACACAGACACAGACACAGACACAGACACAGACACAGAGAGACACAGACACAGAGAGACACAGAGAGACACAGAGAGACACAGAGAGACACAGAGAGACACAGAGAGACACAGAGAGACACAGAGAGACACAGAGAGACACAGAGAGACACAGAGAGACACAGAGAGACACAGACAGAGACACAGAGACACAGAGACACAGAGACACAGAGACACAGAGACACAGAGACACAGAGACACAGAGACACAGAGACACAGAGACACAGAGACACAGAGACACAGAGACACACACACAGAGACACAGAGACACAGAGACACAGAGACACAGAGACACAGAGACACAGAGACACAGAGACACAGAGACACAGAGACACAGAGACACAGAGACACAGAGACACAGAGACACAGAGACACAGAGACACAGAGACACAGAGACACAGACACAGACACAGACACAGACACAGACACAGACACAGACACACAGACACAGACAGACACAGACACACAGACAGACACAGACACACAGACACACAGACACACAGACACACAGACACACAGACACACAGACACACAGACACACAGACACACAGACACACAGACACACAGACACACAGACACACAGACACACAGACACACAGAGACACAGAGACACACACACACACTTCCTGAGTAGATCTGTCGAACAATTTGGACCGTTGTTTTCAACTGAACGTGTCTTCCGAGACAACACAAAAAACATGTTGCGGAACTTAGGGAGTTCCTGGCCGTGGTAGGAAGAGTCCCGCTTGGTTCCCACCCAAGTACGGCCATTGTGGCCTATGGCACAAAAATGGTCGAAGGCTTGCTAAGGCTTTCTTGCCGCGTCCACCACGTAGTGTGTCCCCTTATGTGGGTCTTATCACACTCCTAATTTGGTGTGACACTGAGTCGTGTTAGCCTTGAATTCTTGGAACAGAGTGTCAAAAGGCAAACCAAATCCCTAAACCTCCTTGGCCATGAAATAAACGTGCCAGGGGCAACGGCTATATTTTGTTCTGGCTCGGCCATTGTTTGCAGGCTCCAGAAGGGGCCCTCTGGTGCGCCAGCAAGTTGCCTGGATCATCTTCGAAGGTGCCCCTCTAAATGTTGACACGCACCTATCAATTGACCACGGGTTTTTAAGTAAGCATTTCCCTGGACTTTCAAAGTCCATTAATCAAATGGCCGACGTAGCAAAGTAGATCTCTTGGGAAAAAAAAAACAAACATTTTTTTGATGGTTTGGGAAGGGCCGTCATTGTTCATCATGGTCACTTGCCCCGGCAGGATCCCTTCACTTCAAGGGGAAACGCTCCCTACGAATCTGGCAAATTGATAAACCCGGGTCAACATGCGTTGCCAACAAGGGCTCAAGACTGGAGCCTCGTAGAAATACTGTATAAATGCACATGATATATACACGCATGTTCATATCCCAAGCGTAGCGGATACATGTGGGTGTGTCATTTTTTGAGGGTACCCTTGTTGTGCTTCTTTGCAAGGCGAACAAAAAGGGAAACCTTTTTGTTTTTGAAGGGGCCCTATTTTGCAGACACACCCATACACGGTAGAGCATGCCTGGAGCCAGGTTCAACGTCGAAAGCAGTACATTACTCGAGCACGCCGACTCTCCTCAGAGAAGTTCTGAACGGCGTAGGTGACCTTGGCGTCCCCGGTTTTTCATTTTTTGTGAGGGGGGTCAGATGTAAATCACCTCTTCAACACATGGATTTAAACCCAACACTCAGATATTCTGTTCGAACCTGACAAAAGAAGAGGGCTTTCGGGCCAAGAATAAAACATCATGGACTGGAGCTGACAGTAAGGAAAGAGATTCCTCATGCCCACATCCCTGTGCCAAACATGGCCCCTCAATCCACGCCTTGCCAGTTCTTTCTTTGTCTCCGAAAGAAATGGACCTCCAAACATCTCCATGACTCGCTGCTGGATCATGTGGCTGTGGGTCAAAAGTAGGTGCCCAAAATGGAACCCTAGTAAATGAAGACATGGACTACAATCTGCGGTCCCCTGGTGGCTCAATTTTGACCCATACCCAAATCATGGCTGACTCGCTGCTGGATCATGTTGCTTCAGGCCTGGCTCACTTTGCTCGCTTCGCCCTGCCCGCAATCCGCATGCATGATGCAAAGCAACATGCCTCACGCAGTGATGCGAAGGGATCTACCTTGCCCTCCTGTCGCATGGACCGCGGGCTCAAACTTTCTGTGGGACGGGAAAGCCTTGGACCCTTGGGTTGTGGTCCTTTGCTTGCAGCAGCGATTCGGGAAGTTGGAATGAACCGATTCAAGCTAAACCATCGAACTAGTGACTAGTGGTTTCCGGGGTCAGGTTCAACTGGAAATTCCGCTGAGACCAGCAAGTCTTCTTTCCAGTTGAAGAGCAAAAACTGTTCTGTGTTTGCAGCAGTGTCAGGAAGAGTGAAGTCTTTGACCACCCCTTGAGTTGTCACAAAATAGTGCAACCTCCAAAATCGCAACACCTCGTGGTTTCCCTTTAAAACAATCAGAAAGGTGTACCTTCTGTTTCTCCATGATGGACACCTGGGGTAAACCCTGTCCTTTGCGCAACTGAACTTACGTTAAAATAGTTTAATTGCTTAAGTTCCCTGGACATACAAACAGTTCCAGTGATTCATTCCACTTAAAACTAACAGGGAAAATAACAAATGGCCATTGGGTCAAAATCCAAATCGTACCCCCAGCGAACATCCAACCACCAAAGTAGGTTCTAAAATGGGTGTGCACCGAAAACCCAACCAAAATGGGATCCCAAAACGGTTGTGACAGACCCACAGCCAAATCACTACGCCAAGGAACCCCACGCACTGCCAGCGAATTTTGTCACTGAGTCCCGTACGCAGCCTACAGTGCCCACCTGCTGGCACCAGTCCAGGTTCTCACCCTTGGCGAATCCAAATCTCACCCGTGGGGAACGGAAATCTGCGTCTCTGGTGTTTGTGTGTTTGCTTTACTTGTTTTCTTTGTCTTTTTTGTATGTGGTGTCTCTGTTGTTTGTTTGCTTGCTTTGTTTGTTTGCTTGCTTGCTTGTTTGCTTGCTTTGCTTTGTATGAGTTGGTTGTTTTGGTTTGTAATTATGAGTTGGTTGCTTTGTGTTCTCGCTTCCGGGGTGGATTGGCCAAAAAGGAACCAACCTTTCTACTTCCCACGATGGTCCAAACCTAAAGTGAAAGTCCCAGGCACCGAGCTTTAGAATCAACGAAGGATAAGGCATTTGCTTCCAGTAGATTCCTGAAAACTGGGATTCCTCTGACTTCTCCATCCCAACTTGTGTCTCCTCGAAAAGGAAATCACTGTGACATGTGAAAATAAAAACTCCTATGGCCTATGGTCTGGTTCCTTTAATAGGAATCATTTAGACGTTCATTAAGGATCCCGACCAGGTGGATGACCAAACCTGTTAACCCCAAGTAAAGGAACCTGTCCTTTGACCATGGCACGAATGCGGCTATGGACTTGCCAAGATTGGTCTGTTACAACACGCAAGTGGGTTCCCCTAAAGACGACACCAGGGCAGTGGGAAAATACAATAAAAAGGGCCTCCCAAAGACTAACCCCAATATAAGAGGGGAGTCTCTTGTTTCAGAGCAGTGGTTGGAGAAACCGCGAGCGATCCCACAACCCTGGGACACACCCATTTCCGGCGCCCAGGGGAGTCCGCAACGGACCCCAGCTCCAATGCCGTCAGAGCCGCCCTTTGATAGCTGTGGCACTGCCAGTCCGCCTGGCAGCGAGTTGCGAATTCGAAGGCGCAGGCAGCGCAAATGGAACTGATCATCGAGCAAACGAAGCCACACAGAATCCAAACAGAAGCCAACATAAACACACCAACTTTTTGCGTGGATCGGTCAAAAAGAAGTCCGGACTTGTTATTTACCACTCAAATGGTTCAAACCCCTAAAACATAAAGTCCAGAAACGCGGGAAGTGAGCCAACAACACCAGGAACGAAGGCCACAGGTCCATTTTGGGTCCTTATTTTGGACCCACAGCCATATCTTGTTTCAGTGCCCCACGTTAGGGCTTGGATTCCTTTCTTCCAGAACCCTGCATCCAGGTCCCCTCATCCGGAAGAAGCTACGCAGTCAACAAATTTGCGTCTCAAATTGGGTGTTCCCTTGGGTTCTCTGTTGAAGCCTCAGCTTTACGCCGAACCGCAATACCCTGCAACCCACTTTTGGCCGGCTCCATATTGAGGGATCTGGATGCAACGGCTTCAGGTTGCAACTTTACGACCCTAGGATTCAACTCATTACCAATAGAAAACGAAAGCAGAACACATACACTCAGTTGCCCAAAGGACCAATCTTTTGGAACCTCGACTAAATATGAACCAACTCAGGCAAACCAAAAGGTTAGAGGCTAGCTTTGTGCAAGAGTGTACATATGTGGAGTGGTTCTGCCTCCAGAAGGCGGGCTCCTTTTGGTTTCCTTGTATCGTCCAAAAAGATGTCCGATTCCTACTTTGGCAAATATTTCTGCAACTGGGTGGTCTCCAAATTGTTCACCTTTACTCATACCATTTCCTGTCTCAGTTGCCCAGTGACCATGGTAGAAATAGGGAACGCTCTTGCGGGTCAATTCCATGTTCGGGGCTTCACTAAATTAAACCTAAAAAAACCATACAAGGTGGAATCCACTAAAGTTATGATTGGATGAGGGCTTCTGCGAAGTTCGCAACCAAACAAGGACACAGGGTCCCCCTAAACTTAGGGTTACTTTCTCAGATGAACTAAGGGGGACCCCAGCTTGCCATGGTTTTTGGAAGAACTGCTTTTCTTTGATGGGGTCACTGGATTTTCCCTTGAACAGTTGCAATTTGCTGGTGGGTTCCATTGAAACTGCCACTCTTCGAGGTTCCGAAAAAAAGCCAGGGTTGTAGAAGAAGCTTCTTTTCTGGGATTGTTGGGTTCTATGCTACTTTTGTTCAAGGCAGAACTTCTCTAGGTGGAATTAATCCGCTGAACCCCGAGCCATGGCGTTGACTCCCGCCTCATCGGAGGAGGGCGGCGGGCACGGTGGCGGCTCCGGCGTGCAGAGATGAGAGATCCAAACGTCCTCGTTGCCCGGATGGATCCGACGATCGAAAGCAAAGCAGGGGCAAATGCCTCGGCCAAACGGGATCCGACACGGAACCAAAAAGCGGGCCCCACGTTGTGCGGGAAAATGAGGAGTCAGTTCAATGAAAAAAAGGAGCTGTTTGGGGAGTTGAGATTACTTGGCTCCAAACCCCCATTTTAGGCTAGGCAAGGAGCCCATCTTCTGTCTCCAGGGTTGGCTCGTTCGGAAGAACACTGGGCCGTTTTCATAGGGGGTTGTTCCCCTGGGTGCTTGATTTCCCACACCCAAAATCCCTCTATGGAAAAAAAGTGGGGCTTTTTCAACTGCGGATTCATAAACCTATTCATTTGGGGGGTGGTCAGCCTAGAAGAGCGTGACAACCAGATTACATCAAGCAAATTCAACACCCCGATCAAAGCCGATAATTTCATTCCAGGGTTTCCTGCAGTAGAAAAATCACCCAACCACCGCGAAAGCGGAGAACTCACAAGACCTCACAAGACTTGGCAATTCGACTCTACGGAGCCTTAGGGTATCATGCATACCCCTCCCAGTGGATCCCAGCTACCAGTATAGCAGGTAACCATACACTTTCCATTTGGATTTTAAAGGGTTCCCAAAGAAACCGACGGGCAAATGGTATCACTGGGGGTGTCAAAAGAAAGGGCCCAATTTTAGATTGTGAAATGGTGGTTACATCAACTCCCTTTGTCTTAATTTTGAATCGGCAAAACCTTTTGAAACACACATTGGCGCCTGTCCGAAAGTTTTATCTGGCTTCTGACCCTGGTTCGGGGGGTGGCAATCTCAAACATTCGCATCCGCAAGCAGTGGAACCTAAACAACTGTTGGAGACAATCCGGGCCCTCAACCAAACGCATCTAATGTTGACCCCAGATGAATCAACCCCAGTTTATTAATAGAGGGTGCTCCCCTCCAGAAGTGATGATTCCCCACTAAACCCAGGGACACCCCCTATCAATAAACTGGGGTTGAGTAAACAGTAGTCCTGAACGAGACACTCTTCCGATCACCCTACCGCGAAGTGAAGCCCAGGTTCTGTGGCAAAGTCAGCGCCTGTGGCAACACTCTGATGTTTGGACCACCGGCCGCGTTCCATCATCCACCTGGCACACCACTCGTGCGATGGGCAGGCCCCTTCATAGCTCCATCAGAATCTTGTCCAAAGGTATTTCACAAAACGCCCGTTGAACCATGAAATATCCCATCGAGCTCTTTGAATAACCACACAAATCCAAGCGCGGACTTGCAAGCCCCACAAATGGCCAGCTTGGCCCTTGCACACACCCACCAGTATATGGAAGTTAACATCAGCCAACAGTCAAATGGTCGCCCAACACTATTGTGACTCTCAGATTGGGCAGGAACCACCTTTTTTCATCATTCCCCACCTACTGTCCGGGGAAAACAAAAAAAGAAACAAAAAAAGTGGTGGTATCCCCCACAGCAACCCCCACAAACCTTCTGGAACGGAGCCGCTCCGAACTCCAAATCTGGGCGACAGCTTCCAGGCGAGGCGGACAAAAACCACGAGCTTTGTTCAATCCACATGCAAAAGCTTAGCCATAGGCTGACTCTGGAGTACCTCAAAGCATGGCGTGAAATTCATTGTTGCCATGTACGCGTTGCCATGGAAGCCACCAAGGAAATGGTCCCTTTCGGCAAATCGTCTTGCAGGACCCCGAGACCAGGTTTCACAGTGGACCGGAGGGTTGCAATCCTTTGGGTGGACACCAGTTTTGGGGATTTAGGTCCAACCATTTCGGAGGGGTGCTCCATCACTGATATTTCGCTCCATATCTTGTCGACACCATTTTTCTTTAATAGGGGCCCCACATAATATTTGTATGATATGTATGGGAATGCCGGCACCACCTCTGGCAGAAACATCCTACAGCGAAAACCTACTGCTTCAAATCCCAGGGATAAAGCCATGGGGGATATGCTGGTTCCAGCCACCACACATTTATTTAAAGCCAAGAGCTCTGCTTGCCACCAAGATATATTTTTGGAGAAATCCAACAAGTGCACCGCCACTCGTGCTAAACAGCAAAACCCAGCAATCAATAAACAACAACTCTACAATATGTCCAAAACCAGACATCAGAAGTAGAGGACCTACATCGCTTTCCCTCGTTTCGGCCCCCTGAATCGGTGGAATCGCTCACGCCGCCTGCGGCTGGCTTCGGCGCCAGACATGAAGGGCTCCACTTGGAAGGACTTGCCTCGACTGGGTCGCCTTTAGCCTTTGGGAAACCCTATTTCACTATGGTCTTGGCAACTGTTGGTGAGCAGTCTACAAACGCTCTTTTCTACTGGGGCGCAGCCGATACAGCTCAAGGCCTGTCAAGACAATCCAGATCAACCCAAGACTCTTAAGTGGTTTCCTCAGCCCCCAAAATTATCTTTGGGTTGACCGTGGATTTCTTCCTATGGTCGCCCTGACGACCAGATGCGAGGTGATCTGCTTCAGCTTCTATTCGAAGCCGGCAGTTCCTCAGCAAAGCAAACATTGGCTCCTCATGAGCGCCGATCATCTTCGTCAGCATGTCTGCCGGGTTGAAGTTGTGGGGCAGCCACCTGATCCTGCCCTGCATCTTCGCGAGGCTCTCCTTGATCACTGCGATCTCGAGAGCGCTGCGGTCGTCTTCTCCCTGCGCCTGCTCTGAGTGTGTGGCGTCGTACACCGACTTGGCGTCGATGATGGCCACCAGGTTCGGGTCAGCGAACCTTGGGTTCTCCGAGGCAATGACCGTGGGGGTCCCGTGAAGACCGCCGTCATCGTCACGTTCAGCGTGCTTTCGAGGGCTGTACCTTGACCACCTCAGAGACTCCAGCATTGCTACCTGCTTCTCCATGGCGCCCAATGCGGTTGCCATGGAAATTGCTTCGCACAGCATGGTCGATCCAGCTTTCCTCCGCAATCTCCGAGAGCGCCATGACATCAAGGAGATAGGTGCAGAGGCTCCCTGACTCAAGGTGTCATCGGTGATGCCCTGCAACCATCCATGCTGCGGCTTCTGCTTGCCTGACGGGTCATAGGAGCTATCCGCGATCAAGATGTGGCGGATCTTGTCCTCGGGGATGCTGAAAATGCGGAGCACGACATTGTGGCCCTTGATCTTGTTCACCACTCTATTCGCCTCCAACGCATTCTCGGCAGTGGGGTTTGGGAAGCATCCGGCAAGGATGCTCGCGGCTGCTGAAGCGTCAGGTCTGCCCTCACGGGCAATCCAGTTTATGGACGCTATTGTCCCCCGCAGCTGCGTCTCCTCGTTGGCTGTCAACGGAACCTCGCTGGCGTTCTTCTTCAGCGTCTTGTTCTCCAGGATCACCTGCTTGAGGCGGTTCTGGACGTAGTCCTGCATGGAGTGAGTGAATGAGCAGTCTTGCTCCTGTCTGATGCGACGTCCCGCGTAGCCCGTGCCGAGGTCCTCCGACTGCAGTTCCACCGCCTTGCCGAAGCGCAACTTCTCCTCGAGCACTTTCATACGCCGTCGATGTTCTTCATCGCCGGCCTCCAGGACGTCGTCCACTTCAATCACGATGGCTCCTCGAGTGGGAACCTGTTCACCTCGCTCTTCTGCATCCAGGGTCAACACGCATCGGTCGTACGGATTGATGCGGTACCCAAGCTCCTTCACCAACACCTCGAGGAATGAGCGTCTCCACCATGCGGGTCCTGAGACCAGCCCATAGACTTCCGTGTTGAGCATGATCAACTGGTCGTCGCTGTAGCCGCTGAAGGCTTCGTCCTTGGGCATGGTGCACGCCAATCGTTTCTTCCTCGTGGTTGGCATTGACTGCAAGAAGGCTGTTTTCGCGTCCTTCACTCTGGCTCCCCATTTTCGTGATGCTGCTAGCTGGAAGAAAAGGTACAGCGATGAGGTTATCGGTGTGGGGGCCGATCTCTCAATCTCGTGGATCTGAGGGTCCTGCCATCCGACAACGCACCAGCGCGACTTCGCTGCCAGGCCCTCGTGCTTGGCGGGGTCGAAGTTGGCGTTGCCGTACTCCTCCGGCAGCACTGCAAACTTGCCAGAGGGTTTCCACCGATCCACGAACCTGGATTCCAACACACCTTCCGGGTAGTTCCTGCGGAACTCCTCCGACTCCTTCTTGGAGAGGATGGTGATGGACTTCGTGTCGAGCAGGGACTGGAGTTCCTTTGCTCGGGCGCCTCTGAAGATTTTCTTGTGTTCGTTCCCGAGCTGGTTGAAGGTGACCTGACCAGGGGATGTCTTGGCCTTGGCGAGGTACATGCACCGGTCCCGATGGCTGTAGCTCGCCTCCGAGTTCGCGATGTCGAACGTCTCCTTGCCCTTGGGGGTGATTCCCGAAGTTCCCATCCGCTGGTTGGTCCACCACGCTGCTCCGTCCTTGCCGTGCTCAACCTCCTCGAAGTCCACCGCCTGCATGAAGAATGATCTTGCCGGTGGGGTAGGCCACGCTGGAGTAGCTCCATCGAAGGGATAAGGCATGGCTCTTGATTCCGGTGGAGCTCGTTGAGGTCCGTAAGGAATGCTGGTTGTTCCGCCACTGCCTTCGTCCACCACCACGGTAGATCTTCTGCTCATAACTGGCGTAGTTGGTCTGCTGGTAGGTCGTGATGAGGACGGCGGTCGGGTGCTCTCTCGATCTCCGGCCTCGACCTCCATGTCTTCCGCTGTTGGTTGAGGTGCGTGAGGTTGGTTCTCGGCCTCCACGTTGGCATGATCTAACTCATCTCCGTCTACGTTGTTATCCACCGGTGCTGGTAGTGCTTGAGTTTCTTGGACTGGCTGTTGTGACTCTTCGGGAGCAGGGACGTTTTCTATGGCCTCGATGGGCATCTCCAATTGCCGTTGGTCACCGGGGCCACCTTCCTGCTCGATGTCGTGATAGTGTTTCACCTTGCCAGTGTGAATGTCCTTAATCATCTCCTGCGAGAGCTCCTGAATGAGTTCAGCACCAAGATGCTCTTCCGCAGTAGCCGGACGCACTTGTTCACGAGAGGCTTTCCCCAAATGTCCTCTCAGGCTGATCCACAGCGAGTTGCCGTTGGGGCTCTCCGCGAGGATGATTCCGGGTCCGCTCCAGCCGTTGCACTTGTCCGTGTCTCGCCAGACGTAGACCCAGTCGCCGATGTTCAGCTTCTTCGCGTCGGAGATCCGCGTCCTTTTTCGCACAGCAGAGCTGACCATCTCGGCGTCCTTGTTTCTCATCCAGGCTTGGCTTGCAGCGTCTCTGATTTCCCACGCTCTCTTGACGGGGCCACTTGCTCCCTGGTGCACCAGCTCGGAGTCCAACAGGTCATCGGATGCCAGGGATGCCGGCAATCTCGGGTTGTAGCCGAACACTCTCTGATACGGGCTGAACCCGCTCCGGTTGTAGTACCTGTTGCGGTTGATCTGCACTTCTCGCACGCATTGATCGAACTCGCTCTTGCTGGTCGCCTGGATCTTCTGCAAGGTGAGGGACAGCTTCTCCTTGAACAAGCCTCCAGCCTTTTCGGTTCTCCCATTCTGCCATGGGGCCCGGGCGTCAATCACATGGATCATGAGGCCCATGTCTGACAATCTGCCAAGGAACTCCTGGGAGGTGTACTCGGTTCCCTGGTCGATGACCAGGACACCGGGTGGTCCATAGTGGGTCAGCCAGGTCCTGCAGAAGGTCTCAAACGTGTCGAAGGCTGTCTTCTGGGGCATCTCCTCCACGATCTGCAGACCGGATCCCCAACACAAGATGTTCAGGAAGTTCAAGGTCACCTCCTGGAAGGGGTAGAAGAAGGTGTCGATGCCGACCACCTGGTTGAACTCCATCTGTCGCACCAGATGACCGGGTCGTGGAAGTGTGGGTTTCTGTCGGGCCTCACACAGCGGGCAGTTGAAGTAGCGCTTTGCCCAGTTGATCACCTCTTCCTTGGCGTTGGCATGCCTAAGGGCACGCACGAAGGCTTGTCGGTCTGGGTGTCCGAGGTTTCGATGTAGACGGTAGAGTTCTCGTCGGAGGTCTGGTGCCAGAGACCATTGTCCGGTCTCTGCTTTCTGCCAAGTGTCGATCTTGTCGGCGGCCTTCTGAATGTTCTCGCCCTCGCCGATGGGGACCAGTTGACGCGATGCGCTTTGCATCACAGGGTCGGTTTCCACATCGTCATCAATTGCTGGTCGAGCAAGAGGTCGCGAAGCGGCCACCGTAGGCGATGATGAATCTGCGCCTCCCAAAATTCTGTGTGATGGAAAGCAATGTAGCAAATAGACCTCCAGTTCGTCCTGAAACTCGGCCTCGTTCTGGATGAACGTGGCCAAGACGGAAGCCAATCGATTGGCCTCGTTGTCTGCTTTCTGCTGATGCCACGTTGAAAGTGCTGCGATTGCTTGTGATGGTAGTTCGTGAGGAGGGTTGACCTGGGCGTAGACACCGAGGTGCTGCAAATGACGTCGTAGTCCTTTGAGGATGGCCTTGACGAAGGCGTCGGTGTAGACCGCAGTAGGTCCAGCCCGTCCTCCAATGAGAGGTTGATGCACTTCATGGCCTGGGCAACGTTTGGCCAGCAATTTGACCAATGGCCACACGTTGGTCAGCAGTCGTGTCGGTTTCTTCGCGGGAAGGTTCTCCCTCGTGGTGGTCAGCTGAAAGGCGCACATGTCCAGATGGATGCAAAACACGGTGGGTCTCTGCATCAGCCTTTGAGCCCTCTCCGACCGCCAGGATGATGCTCCCCGCGGGTGTTCCAGTAGGAACCCGCGACGGTTGTCATCTTGGTACTCCGCGATGCTGAGAGCGAAGTCCCAGTGTAGATCTCCTTCTTCTCGCTCAGCAATCACCGTCTCGGGGTCCCTGCGGTAGTTGCTCAACTGTCTGAAAAGGGAGAAGCTTGTGCATGGCGGCGACAGCGTGATCAGCGCAGGCTTCAGCTCCTTGACTTGCCTCCGAGTGTCTGCCCGACACTGGGGATCACAGAAGTTGTAGCCGGTGGTGAGGTCCAAAGCACCTCCAATCCTCCATTGACCGTTCTGTGACCTCGCCATCTTGGTCACTCGCGGAGGGCTGTAGATCTCCATAATGTCGACGCCGAACTCGCCCAGCAGGTTGTGGGTGCTGGTGTAGACTAGCTTCTTGATCTCCTTGGTGATGTTCCTAGGCACGCTTCTCCATTCCTGGTCCTCTAGTGACCATGCGGCATTGCTCGTAGTACATGGGAATATCCAGTAGGCCTCATAACAGGTGGAGTCCGTGATCTTGC